ATACACCATCAAGTCCTAAAATATTATACGGACTTAGTCAAATTCTTAAATCACATCAGACAACATCAAAACGACGAATCGCACCTCAAATCAAAATCTATAAATTTTGAACTTTTAAATTCTTTATCTTGTGCCGAAACACATCAAATCAATTTGGAATGACTTCAAATTTTGCACACAACTCATAAATGACATAACGGTCCTATTCAAATTTTCAGAATCGGATTCCGACCTCGATATCAAAAAGTCAACCTCCCGATCAAACTTCCCAAAAATTCAACTTTCGGCATTTCAAGCTTAATTCCACTCGGACCTCCAAATAATTTTTCGGACATGCTCCCAAATCCAAAATCACCATACGGAGCTATTGACATCATCAAAATTTTATTCCGGAGTCATCTGCTCAAAATTTAACTCTCTGGTCAACTCTTTCCATTTAAGCTTCAAATTAAGGATTGTTCTTTTAATTTAATTCCGAATTTTTAGTAAATCAAACTCGACCACACCCACGGGTCATAATACATATTGCGAAGCTGCTCGAGACCTTAAGCCACTGAACGAGGCATAAATTCTTAAAATGACAAGTCGGGTCGTTGCATAAGGGCAAAAACAAGGTAGGTATTTTAGTTGATAGGGATCTCTAGAAGCTAGTGGTGGATGTTACAAGGGTGAAAGATAGGTTGATGGCTATTAAGCTAGTGAATGGTGGGCACACTTTAAATGTGATTAGTGTTTACACTCCTCAAGTGGGTCTTGACGAGGAGGTTAAAAGGCACTTCTTGAAAGATTTGGACGAGGTTGTGCATGGTACTCCACACACCGAGAAGCTATTCATAGGAGGTGATTTTAATAGCCATATTGGGGAGACTGCTAGGAGTTATGACGAGGTGCACGACGGGTTCAGTTTTGGAGATAGGAATGAGGGTGGAACCTCGTTGTTGGATTTTACTAAAGCTTTTGACTTGGTGATAACTAGCACGTGTTTTCAAAAGAGGGAGGAACACTTGATCACTTTAGGTAGTAAGGTAGCCAAGGCTCAGACTGATTACCTTCTCTTCAGAAGGTGTGAGGCCTTTGCAGTAATTGCAAGTTTATCCCGGGTGAGTGTCTATCGACTCAACATATGCTCTTGCCAGTGGACTTGGAGATCAAGAGAGCAACGAAGAAGAGAGCGGTGTACGATCAACCTAAGATCAAGTGGGGAGCCTTGATTAAGGATAAAGCTTAGAAGTTCGGGGGAAAAGTTGTTGGCTTTGGGGACCTGGGGGAATAGTAGGAACATGAATAGTATATGGACCATGACATCGAACTGCATTAGGAAAACTGCTAGAGAGGTATTAAGGATGACGAAAGGATACTCGAAGGCCATAAAAGGACTGGTGGTAGAATAAGGAGGTCCAAGAAAAAGTGAAAGCCAAGAAAGTGGCATACCTGAAGCTAGTGGAGAGCACAGACGATGAGGAGAAGAGGACATATAGAGAGTGTTATAAGAAGGAGAGGAAAGAGGCAAAATTAGCGGTCACATCAGCTAAGACTGCATCATTTGAATGATTGTATGAGGATCATGGGGCCAAAGGATATGACATAAAGTTGTACAGGTTAGCCTAGATTAGAGAAAGGAAATCTCGGAACCTGGACCAAGTGAGGTGTATCAAAAACGAGAATGGTAAGGTATTGGTAGAAGAGGCGTGTATTAGGTATAGATGGCAAACGTACTTCTATAAACTCTTGAACGGGAAAGGGGACAAGAATATCATGCTTGGTAAGTTGGAGACCTTAGAGAGACAAAGTGATTTTGGATTTTGTAGGCGTATTAAGCTTGAGGAGGTTGAGGGGGCAATGCAGAAGATGAGCAGGGATAAGGCGACTGGCCCTGACGAGTCCCCGATGAAATTTTAGAAGGACGTCAGTCGGGAAGGCTTGGAGTGGCTTACTAGTTTATTTAATATTAGTTTTAGGACGAAGAAGATTCCTGAAGAATAGCGATGGAGTTTGATGATTCTGGTATACTAAAACAAAGGTGATATCTAAAATTGCAAAAACTATAGAGGTATCAAGCTGTTGAGTCACACTATGAAAGTTGGGATAGGGCGATGGAGAGGAGGGTGAGGATAAGTGTGTCTATTTATGAGAATAAGTTCGAATTTATGCCAGGGCGATGGACCATCTTATAAGGAGATTGGAAGAGCAATATAGGAAAAGAAAAAGGACTTGCATATGGTGTTCATTGACCTAGAGAAAGCCGACAATAAAGTCCCGATTGAGGTTCTATGAAGATGTTTGGAGGCTAGTGGCATTCCAGTAGTGTACACTAGGGTGATTAAGGACATGTACGAGGGAGTTAAGACTCGCGTGAGGACTGCAGGAGGAGACTCAGAACATTTTCAAGTGGAAATGGGGTTACATCAAGGATCAACTCTTAGTCCATTTTTCTTTGCCTTGGTGATGGATGTGATGACGTGACACATACAAGGGAAGGTGCTATGGTGTATCTTATTTGATGATGACATAATATTGATTGATGAGACGCGAGGCGCGATTAACGCTAAGTTGGAGGTTTGGAGATAGACGCTGGAGTCAAAAGGTTTCAAGTTGAGTAAATCAAAAACAGAGTACTTGGAGTACAAGTTTAGTCATGGGATGCATGAAGCAAAAGTGAAAGTGAAAATTGGTACACAAGTCATCCCCAAAAGAGATAGTTTCAAGTATTTTGTATTTGTAATTCAAGGCAACAAGGAGATTGACAAGGATGTTACTCATCATACTGGAGCGGGGTAGATGAAGTCTAGGCTCGTTTCTCGGGTTTTGTATGATAAGAATGTGCCAGCAAAACTTAAGAGCAAGTTCTACAAAATAGTGGTTAGACCAACTATGTTATATGGGGATGAGTGTTGGCTCGTCAAGAAGTCCTATATCCGAAAGATGAAAGTAGCTAAAATAAGGATGAAATAATGATATTGAAATAGATGTGTCGGTATACCATGAAAGACAAGATTAAAAACGAAGTTATTAGGGACAAGATACGAGTGGCCTCTGTGGAAGACAAGTTGCGGTAATCGATGCTAAGATGGTTCGGGCATGTGAAGAGGAGAGACATAGATGCCCCAGTTAGGAGGTATGTGAGGTTGACCATGGCGGGTCTGAGGAAAGGTAAGGGTAGGCTAAAGATGTACTAGGAAGAGGTAATTAGGAAGGACATGTCATTACTTCAGCTTACCGAGGGCATGACACTCGATAAGAAGGTGTGGAGGTCGAGAATCAAGGTTGAAGGCTGACAGGTAGTCGTGAGTTTTCCCTAGACTTCTAGTATTACTAGTACTATTCTTGTATCTTCTTATTCGCGGTTCTTTACTATTACATGTCATGTCATTCACTTATGTTATCCCATTACCTTGTTGTCGTTATTGTTTGTTGCTTTATTTTCACTGTTCCTTGAGCCGATGGTCTATCGAAAACAATATCTCTACCTTCACAAGGTAGGAGTAAAGTTTGTGTAGATATCACCCTCCCTAAAATCACATTTGTGGAATTACACTGAATTTGTTATTATTATTATTATTATTTTAGAATGCCACAAAATTGATTAATATTCGATTGAAGCGAGGGAATTTTCTACTTCATTCCAAGAACTTTTCTAAATAGGTTATTCTTTTCATTTTTTTCTACTACCAAGTAAGGATTGAATACCAAAATGGCACTAGAAAAAAAAAAAAGGAATAGCATATTTCTGGGAATTAAATTGAATACGTTAGAATAATTTCAAACTAGATTACAAAATAGAACAGATCCAACCTCAAAAAAAAAAAAAAAAAAAAAACATGCCATCAATGAAATATTCGGAGGTTCCAAAAAATAACCTAAAAAGGAGTTCCAGAAATGTTATTTTCTGCATCTCATTTCTGTAATATATTCTTTTTCACTTTTCAGTCACTTATAATATAAATTTCTGCCATTCTTGTTTGAACCCGTAAAAGGAAAAGTTTTTTACACTCTTCGTCCTTTTTTAACTATTATTAAAAAAAATAGCATCATTTATTATTTATTCCATAAAGACTATTTTTGTTTTCATTATTAGCATATTATAAAAATTAAGATTAACATTTAATAAGTAAACTAACTCACTAATCACAGGAAGTACTTTTTTTATCCATCTCCATTCTCACTTTCCAACATTCATCTTCTTCACTCCATTTTTGATATGTGAATGCCACCTAAATTCAAGATGTATTGATTTATACATCTTTTATACTTTGTATATCAAGTATCACTTTAATTTAAAATATATTTTTTATGTATATAATTTTTGTATATTTATTTGTGAAGTGCCATCTTATTTTAAGATGTATTTTTAATATATATTTTAAATATATTTTATATGTCAAGTGCCATTTTAATTCAGGATGTATTTTTTGTATATTTATATACCATCTTAATTAAATTTAAGATATATTTTTTTATGTATATTTCACATGTCTAAGTGTCATCTTAATTGAAGATATATTTTTTATGTATATTTTATATGTGTTAATTCAATATATTTTTTATATATATATTTTGTATATATTAACGTATATTATTATCGAAGTAAGATCTTTATGTTAAGAAAGGAAGAAAGAAGGAAGAGAAAAACTTAAGAAATATAATTAAAAAGAAAACGAAAAGAACAAATTTAGAAAATATATTGGTTTCAGCAGAAAACAAAATTAAGAAAATGAAGAAAAAGAAGGAAAGCTAATAGATAAAGAGGAAAAAAATGCACGATTTTTGTATAAAAAATTATTGACTTTTCATTCAAATTACTTATTTTTAGAGATTAATAATTAATATTTCTATTTTAATGGAATTGTGTACTATAAATATAAATATTTTACTGTCACAACTGTAATATTAGATTTCACTAAGAATTTATTATATTTGTTTTAAATTTTGACAGTTACGTAAAATTACAAACCAAACACGGCCCACTAAAACAGGAAACAAATTAGAAAGAAAAACACACACACACACAGCGAGAATTAGAGAAGGCGCCCAAAACCCAGAGTCACAGAAACTGCGAAATAGCTTTTCAACCCCCAATGACCCTTTGATCCTATAAAGGTATTGGCAAAATCTGTGGGTAATGGACCTTCGTCCCAGACCGGGAAAACCTTTCTCTGGTTTTACTGATGCTGAGGTGCTTTTCCCTTTTTCCGAATTTTGTTTCCCATTTTTTTCTTGTTTTCTCAAGGTTTCGCCTTTTATGGGTTCTTTAGAAATTTGATTAAGATGATATTTATGTGTATTTTGACATTTTATGTCTTGGCATCAGAGCATGCAATGCAGAGGTCTTGGTTTTAGTTTCATCATCACCCATCAACAACTAAAAAAAAGACATAAATAAAATTAAGTTTTTCATAAAATTCAACATTTTTCTGGTGCACAATTCTTCACAAGAGAGAGAGAAAGAGCTTAAAGTTATGTGTGTAGCATTTCTATTTAGCTACAGAGTTGAAATGCCGGTAACTTTGTCTTAGCTTGAAGGTTGTATATATGTAGGATTATTTCGCTGGTCTAGAGCATGAAACTGATTAACATATTCTACAGTGACACTCAGCTGTTGAAATGAACAAACAAGTGAGGTTGATGTAGTTTGTGTTATACATCACACGGTTGGTTTGGCTTTTGGAAAGGTTATTGGTTTTACATGAGTATAGTCTCATTTTTATCATTAAAATGAAAAAAAGAAGGAAAAAACTGTTTTTGTCTCATGCAAGATTCCTGGTGGCTAGTGTAAGTTAGAAGTTATGTAAAATCTAGCTAAATGGGTATATATTTCCTTTTACTTTATCAGAATTAAAATTTAGAAATTATGGTCTATGAAACTACTTTAATACGTTTGTGCAACCAGCAGTGATATATGGAAGTCAATGTTGAGCTTAGAAGTCCAATATATTAACAAGATGGATGGTGTATATGCATTTACATTTGTACCAGATTGGAGAAAATTAGTAATGATCACATCCAACAGTGGATGCGAGTAGCAATGAAATTAGAGAAAGTTGGCTGGACAGTTTGGTCATGTACCGGTCTGTATGTGTGACAATATGATGATTGAGGATGTTAAAAGGAAGATAGATTTGAAATCACATGAAGGGAGGTTGTCTCAAAGACCTACATCTTTAGAATCAATGGGAACTCAACCGAATGAATGCAAAGGATCCATATAGATAATACTATCTAGTTTAGATTAAAGCTTAGTTGTTGTTACACTTATACTAGGTTCGGTGGTTGTTAGGAGTCTTTTAGTCTGACTAGAAGTCTTTATGTCTGTTTAGGGATGAATATGAGATTTAGGGAATCTCTAATTTGCCTTATAAGACTACTTATTGAGTATCAAAACAAAATAGACCTAAATAGAGCGAAATTAGAACAGAGAGTTCACCTAGCTGCCCTAACTATTTTGGGATAGAGGGTAGTTGATTAATTGGTTTATAAAACTATACCCATCATGCAAGATCTTGTAGAATGGCATGCTTGGTTGTTTATATTTGTGCTGTTTGTCATGCTTTACTGTAATTGTGAATTTTATCAATTCTGCCCGCTCATATTGTGGATCATAGTGATTGAGTAGTTGCGTCCAATCCTACTTGCTTCTTCGAGTTTGTGAATGTATGATCGGTTCATTTTCTAGCAGATCATTATTGAGTTACTTTAAAATGTTTCGTGCCTTGGTTTCTACATCTGGAATCATTATATGGCAGGGGTGATAGAACTTATTAAAGACAAAGAAAAAGTTTCTTGAATCCAACTGTGGCTGTGGCGGTGGCTCTTATCTTGATTGTTACTTCACATTGTGATTTATTTATGTTGAGTTTTGACTTTCGAGAAAGGTGAAACCTTATATTAGAGATATGTACCTTTGACTAGTCATCCACATCTCCGTTGGCTTCTTTGGGCATTGTGAATTAATCATCATCTGGAATTTGCAAATGATGTCAATCTGCAACTTTAAGAACACATGTTGGAAGAAACAACTCTAATTTCAGTTACTCTCTTCTAAATTGCAATCTTTTGGACATCTCTTTTTCTTTTTTGATGAAGTAAAAGATATTATAAAAAGCATCAAGAAGATGCAAAAGAGCACTGTCCAGGTGCTAATACAAAAGATGATATGTTAGCTCTGTACAGATGGTCCTATGCTAGTGTTAGGGAGCTAACAAAATCCAAAAATAATTCGGGGGAGCTAATAGGGGAGAGGTTACTCCAGCTATATAACAAAACTATACAATTAGCCTTCAAGGAGTAACATCTCTTTTTAATTCAAGCAGATTGAGAAAATGGAGAAAGAACTTAATCAATCAGGAGAACAAGTTTGTGACCAAGAGTTTTGCCAGAAATTGGCACAGGTTTTCAGGTGAGTTGCACTTTCTGTATCAAGTTGCATTTTCTTGTTGAATAATCAACAAAATCACTTTATATACATTTGACTTTTAACACATTTTTGGCTTGTTTTCAGCCACTCTAAAGGTCGTGCAGGAAAACCGATTGTGAAATGGACTGAGGTTCATAGTTTGACATACTTACTCCAGGATCCGATATTCTTGGTTGAATGTCGTTATAGAACTAAGTTCTACTATTTCACTTGACTTTAGGTCCAAACTTGGTTCCAGAACAGACAGCAAAGCTCTCTCTCAAAGGATAATTCAGCAGAGACCAAGAGGAAACTCCCTGATGTGACCGAAGAATGTGTTTTAGATAAAGCTAATCAAAGATTTCATATGCCTGAAGGTCCCTGTTGATCTATGTTTACTTTATGAAAGTAGATTTCTGACATAATGATTGGATGAGACATTGTTTTGCCGGTGCAGAAATTCCCTTTTTCTTCTACTTCCCTCCTTACTAACCATTTAAAAAATAAAAAGTGAGAGTTGAGACTAATACACTATAATTATTACTGTTCTCATGATAATTTAATCATGCATACAGATTAAGGACCTTTGATGCCTTCATATCTAATTTCAAAGAATTGTTTTGCGTTCTTAGTTCAGGAAAAAGCTGTTAATTTTTCTAGACTTCCTAGAATTATGCTGTTTCCCAGCTTCAGCTTGAGGATGTATTAGATTTGGTATCCACAAGATGAGGGATAGACTTAATTATGAATCAAGAAATTTTGTCAGAGCTATGCATTAGTTGATATCACAGAGCTTTTCTGAACTGGTTGAATTAAACTGTACAATGCTACTGAATGAGGAACAGCTTGTAGTCATTCTGCCTTTCATTCAGTTATTAATGCTGTATCTTAGTATAACTGGATTTGTTCCACTGTCTCATTTATGTGGTGCACTTTCCTTGAAAGATGCTCAAAAGTTACTTTATTGTGAATAGTACCTCAAACTCCAAGGACAGAATTCAACAATTTTAGTTACATTGTCCCGACCATTGTATGATCTGTGATAATTCTGCATGAGATTGAACTTCTTATTAGAGGGGATTGAAAATTATACCACAGCTTCTATCCTTCTCTATCTATCATAATCGTCCCTGAATCGCTGTTGTTTCAGATGTCCTCTGAAAGAAGGAACAACTTGTCTCAATTCCTTTTTGTCCTCTTCTTTCTTTCTTTTCTAAGTTTTTGTTGCTTATCAAACTAAAGAGAGTCAAACTACTTTGTCCCTTGTATTCATTCTTTTTGATTTTTTTCTCCTATTCTTGTCAATCATTTTTATCAACTCTAATGGAAGGTTTAACATCTATTTAAAGTTACATTTTACTCACATTGACTATCAATGGCGAAAGAGATATTTTTATTGGTTTTCCTCCATCTGAAAATGCGTACTGCTTTGAGGATCCAGTTGATGAGAATCTTGTAAGTAATTGCCAAATAAAGAATGATCTAGGCATATGTTTCCTGTATTTGGTAGCTAAATCTCTTCTGCCAAATGATTAGTGCTACTTATGCTCCCTTAACAGTTAAATCTGTGGTTCCTTTGTCAGAAAACTGCACTTACATTGTTCAATAAATTCTTTTCCAGGGAAAAAGGTTCCAGATTTGTCAGAGTTAGAATTTGAGGCTAGGTCTTCAACAGATGGGGCATGGTAAGCCTACATTAGCAAGCCAGAAAGGCTTACTCTAGTTTTCTTCAATCAGAAATAAGTACTGGATACTCAGCCATTTTAGCATTAACTTTTAGATGCTTGCTCATCTTTTTCAGCATTTCACCTTGGATGCATTTTCAACCTTTTTTGCGCTTAGCCATTAACATAAGATGCAAGAATGAAATCTTGTTTCCATACTTCTGTTTCTAGTCTATCTTTTCTTTGGCCTGTCTGAAAAATAAAGAAAAAGAGACAAGACAAAAAAAAAGAAGAAAGTTTCTCTTAACCGATGAGCAGCTACACTGATGCCGATGCAACAGCTCAAAGGATTCCATAAGAATGACATTGTTCTGGAAAATAACATCCATTTTGAATATCTTAATTTTCTATTGTTTGTTTATAGAAGTTCTCTAAGTTACTTCTTGGTGCTTCCCCCTTTGATAATGGTCAATGACTGCTGGTTGCAAAAAATGTTTTATGTTTTTCTTTTGGGAGCTACATTAAGATCCTCCATCCCTATGAACATGCAATATGGTGGATATTAGGGAAATGTACTGAAGTTCTTACACTTTATTCTGTGGCCATTTTTTATGGCTAAAACTTATCGAAGCCTACTATCATAATTTACTGCTCAATGGTGAATAAACATGTGAGAATTTGTCATATTCTCATAGATCATTGCATCTTGTTGGGCTACCTAACATATTGTCCCTTGGAGCTGCCGAAAACTATCCAGGATCATAGAGGCTTTTGCTCCAGAATAAAGACTTATTCATGAAACTGATATTTTTAGATCAAAATTGATATTGTGAGAGCCAGGCCTTTTATTTGGAAGCTGCTTCTTAAATTCTTATCATATGACTAACAGTCTGAACAAGTAGTTTAATAAGCTACCTGTCTATTCAAAATCGAATTTGAAGAATTTCCAAAGAATTTGTCTTTGACTTAATTCCCAACAATCAGGCATATATTATCCCGCTTAAAAAGAAGGGTAGAAGGTATCCATTTCCATAAACTATGTATTTCTCGTGTCTTTGAACTGGGCCTAAGGTAAATAGCAGTGGTAGCGATCAGCCTCTGACTCTCTTATAAGGATATAGTAATTGTTTTCTTAGGATGGAAGTGTTTTAGTGATACCTAGTATTTTTTAACTTGAATTAATGCATCTATTATGGGGTTGAAGTAAAATGTTTGCACTTCTTTGTAAAAGACTAATTTAGTGTTTACTTCTGATGTTTGACAGGTATGATGTTGATACATTTATCTCACACCGGTATCTCAGCTCAGGAGAACCTGTAAGTAGTTCAAATTGATCAAATACATTGCTTATTTGAAATAAATAATACTTGATACAATTAGAACTCAGGAAGTGCATGCTGCTTGACATTTGGTGGAATGTAATGTGCTGCAGGAAGTTCTTGTGAGATTTGCGGGATTTGGATCAGAGGAGGACGAGTGGATAAACGTAAGAAAGTCGGTCCGGGAACGATCTGTACCACTTGAGAGTTCAGAATGTAACAAAGTCAGGGTTGGGGATCCTGTTTTGTGCTTCCAGGTACCCCTTTCTTCCATTGGACTCTCTTTTCCCGTTGTTCTAGGGGTAAAATGAGATCACAAAAGGTAGAATATATGGATATTCATGATGTTGGCCTCTGAGTTGCAGGTATGTTAGTTCGACGCAGGATGCTTTAACTATATATTTTGGTTTTCCTATTTTGATCTAACTAGGAGAGGAAGGACCAAGCTAGATATGTTGAAGCACGTGTTATAGATATTCAAAAGAAATTTCATGATATAAGGGGTTGTAGATGTCTCTTTGTGATTCAATATGATCATGATAACACAGAGGTGCGTTTTCATAACAGGAGAATATCTACCCATTATTATCATTTTGCACTAAGGTTGGATTTACGTTATCACTATTTGTTTACTTCTTCCTTCAGGAAATTGTTCATTTGAGGAGATTGTGTTTCCGGCCAAGCGTATTAGGACGTCTGTGCCAGATTTAGGTTTTGTGTATAATCATTGCAGCCCAACATGTTTTGCCTTTGGACGATGCACAGTTTTGTTACCTTCATTTGGCCAGTTGATGCAGTAGGTTTAATGCAGCTTATTTTGCTTCTTGTGGCCCATATTTAATCTAGACCAATATGCTAAAGGCATAATTTTGCTGAAAATTCCATATGCCTATCTATATATCTATATATATATATATATATATATAAAAGAGGGACATGAAGGAGGGGATGTGGCATCTCAATAGTGTAGGAATCCTCTTTATCTTTTTCCTCATTTTTTTTAGTTTTTTCTTTCATTTTGTCCATTTTAATTGTTTAAAATTTAAAATCCATATCATAACGTCACACCTCTTCATTGGGGGTTATGACTCTAAAAGTCTATAACCTCCACTGCTTTAATGTCTTAAAAATAACTGTCTTAATTTTGGCCGAATTCTTTCCATGTGTATTTAAACTCCACACACACTGATATCCTTCATCCTCAATAAATAATGTTACCCATATTGGCTTTCACTTTTTAACTGTTTTACTTTTTCACTGCATATTGGCATATATGATTTATTGGGCAAATGATGTATTTTTCTGTACAATTATTGAAGAACTAATATCATAAATGTGTAAATATTACACTGCAAGATCTTCACATAAGGGATGGAAGTCTTGGAATTTGGCTAAGAATCAAACTGAAAATGGAAGAAATAGATTTTCCATGTAGTAAAAGCGTGAATTCGATATTTTTAGATTTAATTTTCTTCTAATAAATATAATATCATAAATCATAATAACACAAAAATGTAATAAAAATACATAAACACTATACATTATGTTGAATTTTCAATTTCAGTGTCTTATAAAGTAACATGATGCTTGTACATAGTTCGTTTGTTTTTAATTATGATAGTATCATTTGTTGGTAAGATACAGGATATTATCCAATTAAGGCAAATTGGACAACAAGAGGTATAACCAAAGTTAATAATTAATAGTCGTTGTTGACGAAAACATATTTTATCTTTATTAATTATCTTATGTCATTCCATACATCAAGATTTCAGACGACGTCCCAAGTTTTCATATTGATTGATGAGATTCTAAGAAAGAATATGTTGTATACCGTGATGTTAAAGATTCTGTACATTTGAATCTCATTTTTTTTTAAAAAGAGAAAAGGCGAGAGCTAATGATTTTTAGAGAGGAGTAATTTACTTTGAGAATATAATTATATCAAAGAACAATTGATCATGCTACCGTTGGAGAACATTCATTTTCCTTTTTTAGCAAGATAACTTAGAATTATTTTAATCATACTTACTTTGCTATATCATACATTAGATATTATTTGTAAAACATAAGAAAATATCAAAATACTAGTATTATATTATTTACTCAATCTTGATGATGACTTTTGAATTCTTTGTGAATAATTTTAAGCCACTTATTTGATATGTAAAAGATTGATATTTTTAATTATAAATTACAACATGCTTCATCTGGTCCACTTTAAGTAATTTTTTGATTGTTTTCATACATATTAAGAAATTCACATTTAAGTATTAATTAACAATGTAATTGATCATATTAACCTTAATTTGTTCGTTGAAAATATAACAAATACTCCTAGACACTATACTCCAAGGGCAACTTTGAAAAAAATGAGTTAATTCTTTCTTTATATTTGAAAAAATCAATATTATGGGCCACAACAAAGGCCAAAAAATTACTTAAAATGGATCGGAGGGAGTAACTATTTAGACAAATTTTAATTACTTTTGTTACCGCGCGAAGCGCTGACAAATTAACTAGTTGTTTCTTGTATCTGCATTCTTGGGGTTGGACAATTGTATTGTGTCGGGAAACGTTTCCTAGAACTCTTTCAAATGCAATTTCTAGAAGAAGAAAATAGTACATAGAAATGCATTCCTGCAACTCTCTATATTGTCAACAAGTGCTCCAAACTATTAGTGATTTATTGAATGGATGAAGAAGTTACAAGACTTTAGANTTGAGAAAAGTACTTACTTTAGAGTTGACAAGCGTCTCAAAAAAGAAAAGGTTTATTTTAAGTTGTAGAAGCTTTTGATCCTTTTTCTGTTGTGGAAAAAAACTAAAGTAGAAGTAAAAACTTCTATAGTTCTTTTACTAGACCGTAGCACTGTTGTAAAACAATACTATCCCCCACAGTTTGGACTAAACTAATCTTATGCGTTGTTGAGAACATATTTATGAGTTATGACTAAAGTTTCATAACTCGCCTTCTCTCTATTTTGTGTTTTCATTTTTAACATTCTGATTAGATGAAATTGATAAACTTAATTAGTGTCTCTCAAAAGTCAAAACATTTATCTATTTACAAAGATACTAAATTTAAAGTAAATCTTTCCATGTTCTTTTCAATAAACACTCAAAATCATTCTTTAGAAAGATTGACCAAATTGGAGAAAAAAGAAAAATAACCAAACACAAAATGTGTTTATAACAGTAACAGAAGCGCTTCCTAAATAATTTGATCAAACACAAACTGTGACTGTCCAAAATTGTCTTTTAAAATTTCATTTGAGAAAAGCACTTTCAAAAATAAGAAAAATCTAAATCTCGACCAAACGAGCTCTGAATATGTTGTCAAGAAGTTTTAAGCGAAAGTTAATTGACTTACCGCTAAATGTGGAAATAGTTAATCATTAGAGGTCAGATGTCACCAATCAACTATAGTCATGTTGAAATGTTCCTAATGTTAGTAACGATTCTAAGATACTCTCTCCGTTTTAATGTGCATGGATTTTAAGAAAAGAGAGAAGACTTTTGTACTTATGGCATAAAATAAGGCACATATATCTTGTGTGACTATAAATCATTGCATAAAGGTAAATTGTTTTCAAATAGAAAAATGAATTATTCTTTTTTGTACGGACTAAAAAGGAAATAGATACACATGAATTGAAATGAAGAAAGTACTATTTTTCATATTAACTATTAATAGATTCTTTTAATAAAGAAATAATACATTATCCGTCCATATTACTCATAAGTTTCTATTTCGTGATTCGCTACTAATAATTTTCCAGCATACAATTTTCACACTTTTCAATAACTAACTCTTTAAATTTTATGACGTTTCCTACGTCAAAAGTAGGAAGTTTTTATCAATATTTTTACATTTTTGTTCCACTACTACTATTATAATACATAAGGGTGGCATATGGGCCGGTTAGGATCGGGTCCGGCTCAAGACCGCAAGTCCAAATGGATAGTGGGCCTAAACGGTTCTAACCGGATATGACCAGGACCGTGGGGAGGTGGGCTAGGTAGTAGGTCGGTCACATAGACGAGGCCCGCGAGACCGGGACCGGGACCGACTAGGAAGTGGGCCGGTTGAAGCGGTCCTAAACGGGCCGATCCGGGCCCAAGGGCTAATTTTTAAAAAAATTTAAATCTGTCACATTATAGCNATATATATATATATATGTATATAGTAAGATGTATATATAGTATATAAATCGAATATAGCTTATATATCTTAAAATTTATATATATATCGAATTTAGCTTATATATCTTAAGATATATATATAGTATAGTATAGTATAGTATATATATATATATCTTAAGATGTATATATAATATATTTTAAGATGTATACTATCGAATACGGCTTATATACTATGTATATATAGTATAGCATATATATATATATATATATATATATCTTAAGATGTATATATAATATATAAATCGAATATAGCTTATATATCTTTATTACTATTTTTTTCTCTAACTTCTATTTAAAAAAAAATTAAAAATAGAAAGTATCCGTTGGACCCACTTAGGCTCGGAACCGTTAGTTCGTGGTCCCGATCCCGAGCCGATTCCAACAAGAAACCCGCGAAGTCCGGGACCGTTTAGGACCGGCCCACTTAGGACCGACCCACTTAAGAACGGACCCGTAAAGCCCACTTAGGACCGGATCCGACCCACATGCCACCCTTAAATTAATACATAAGTTAAATTAATATTTTAAACACCATCAAACCCAATCCACAAGATAGAAATTAGACCAATCCGTTATACGGACTTTATGGTCCTTCCCTGTAAACTTCTCGACGGTGAAATTCTCTTCTTAAATCCTGATAGTAACGACTCCACATCTTATCTATTAGCATTTTAGATTTAGTACTCCCTCCGATCCACAATGACCAATTTACTTTGGGCACACCCATTAAGAAAATATAAAATTCTAGACAAAAATAGTTGGTGTGACTAAACTACCCTTAGTTAAATGTTGCAACATAGTTAATATGAGGAGTAAAAGACTTTTTAGGAATACGTACATAAGAATAACTTTGGAAAAACAAATTGAATTTTTTCTTAATTATATAAATGAACACTTATTTTGGACCAAAATAAGAAAACAAATTGATCACTTATTGTTGACCAGAGGGAGTATCTCTTAAAGGTGTACGCACACTGAAAAATGTAACTCTTACATTAATACAGTACATGAATTTATCGGATGTTATTAGAAATCAAACAATTAAATGCAATCAATGAAGGCCCAAGATTTTCCCATCTTTATTACGCCTGTGGTGCAGGGGCCAGATTAGCTGAAATACTTGCTCAAGACACCCTGCGAGTGAAGTCCGTTTCCTGATCTGCTAAAAGTTTCTTTCTACATTTTAGAAGTTAATAGATTAGGTGTAAATTGCACTTCGAATTATTCGAGAACGCTAAAACTCAGGCAAATGTGCTATATTTGTAGAGCTTTGTAAACTGCAAATCACAATTTAAATCTCGAATTCTCCAACCACAAGACAGTAACAATATCAGCATAAGGCAAATAGAGTTTGGGTCCATTCCAGCGTCTCATCACGCATCAGCTTGATACAGCACGAAGCCAACCCTCTGATATCAGTACTAACAGCTTGCCACTATCCGACGTACATGGAAAAGATCAGCGCTTAACCATAAAAACGAACATCGATATAGTTGGTCATGCAAGAAAGAGAAGTTATACACAAGAAGACAAGTAAAAGACAATCCGCATGGAGGGTTGCTGCCTTCCTATATCAAGCCATAACAATTTCCAGAAGGCAATTGGAGTTCAACTCACCAGTACAATATTGGAAGCGCAGGGAGGTATACCAACTCAAATAGGCAGGTCAAATCAAACCACTCAAAGGTCACAATCTGAAATACATGCAGGAAAAACATTCAGCAGACAGCAGCAGCACATCCGAAGGCACTAAGTTTTACATGATAGCTACCTACTGAGTTCTCTTAGAAGACTCGGGAAGAATGTGATAAATTGTCATTTGCATTCATGGAAACCCAAAATTTTTACATACTTCACCGGTTTGATTGAATTCTTTCATGAGATCCTTCCAACACACACCAAAACCTACCTCAGCTCCAACTTTTTGCCAAAAATTAAAGGCCTGCTGGAATTTGGTCTTGATAAATGCACTTGATTCCAACATCCTAGAAATCACCACAGCAATTAATTTCAAACCACATGAGGTGCCAAAATACATAAAGTGATAAAACACATAATACAGGAAATAAGTTTGAACCATAAGGAGCAGTTGCAATAAGAGATGACAAAAGGATCAGCTTCTTTCTGTTCCAAAATTTACGAACTTGAATTAATCAATACACAGTTATACTTCACGAGCTGGAGTTCTCTACATTTTCTAGCACCATATGATCTTTTGAAAAGATCCATCCCATGGAGCCCAACATATACCTCTTAATGCCATTGAGCTATTTCTACATAAATTTAGCAGATCTTTCTTCTCCATAGATCTTGGCCATATAATACCAACAAGATTTACATAGCCATGAATACCATAAGATCAATGTTATCCGGAAATTCGATCTTGCCTAAGGCCATTGGTCCCAACTTATGATCTAAATCCTGCGGACAATTGTGGCAAACAATAAATTACAAGAGGAAAGAAACTATTGGAACTTACCATCAAGGAACCACACGAGGAAAATCAAAACATGTCAGCTGACAACACCAATTAGCCCTGAAAGGACATCTGGATATGACATACTTGAGGAAAACAGCGTGAAAGATACAAGTAAAAGACCTTTTAACAGAATAATCAGCACACTTCTATTTATCAGTCCAACAACCCCCCACAACCCACATTATATGTAGGTAAGGACAACTAACATACTTTTAAAGTGTTAAATAACAAAAGAGGGAAAACTTGTGCCACTCTCATCGCAGTGAAAACAAAAACTTACACATTTCATCTTGGCTGAAATTCGGCCGGCTAAGCTTACCCCCTTCTTTGCAGCTCACAATTTGATTTATGGCATGAATGTACATTTCATGCACCTTTTCTAAAAACAATTATAGCAAAAACCAATGCAGATAATACATCAGGGACTTCGTGCAGGTTATCATACAGACTTACACTGGCACAGTTTTTTAATAGTCTAACACAATAGATTACTCAGACTTTGAACCCCAGTACAGGGACAATCCATCAATCTATTGCACCAACCACAAATAATTGGGTTCAACTAAGAACACTTAATAGTCATTCCACGATACTCCAGTCTAACTCTATTACACTCTAATACAGCGAGGGGCATGATTTCTTTAAATAGTTTAGGTTTCAAAAAGTTACTTAAGTGAAAATCAATTCTTCCTCACGATAATAGTTTCTAATAGAGCTTTGGGTACCTAACGTTCGGGGAATCTTANGTTGCAACAGATAGAAGTATTCTGAGAAAATTGAAAAATATGAACAAATTAAAGTATTCAAGACAGACATCAAACTCCAGAACACCACTTGTTGCATATGAGGGGGGCACCTTGTAATCCCCTCCCCATTTCCCCTTCCCCCTATATATAATATTAAAACAAAAAAAGATACCTAACATTCAGATAGTTGCAACAGATAGAAGTATTCTGAGAAAATTGAAAAATATGAACAAATTAAAGTATTCAAGACAGACATCAAACTCCAGAACACCACTTGTTGCATATGAGGGAAGAGAGACTCAAGATAGAATTTTCTGTGTCTGGAGGTCAGAATGCCAAATATATCAAGAATAAACGGAAAAACCAACAAGACCAACAACCAGGGATTTAATTTAAATTCATGATCCCAGGAACACAAGTTCTAACCAGGAAAAATTGCCAGGAAAAATTGAGAAATAAGGTCATATAACAGTATAACTTTAATGTCCAAGCTACTTTGAACTCTTGAATTACAAGGTCATAGTACTACAAAAGGAGATGTTTTTCTTGCCTCTAAAAACTAATTATTGTTCAAACTATACAAATCTTGACCAGTAAGTAAATAAACCCCCACATAAGATCATGAACTGCCACGGACACCAACTTCGACATTAGAATTTATCACATACACTGATGATAAGGAATATAGAGAATATCATCTCCAAAGGAGAATAAAAGAACCAGCTAGACAAGGTGGAAAGACTGCATCCATTTTTCTCCATTTAGATGAAAAATAAGCAAGCACATTTTTCTCCATTTAGATGAAAAATAAGCAAGCACTTTTTCAAGGCACATACAACAGAGTCTCACATGATACCCAAGAAAATTCCCAACCAAAGTGCCTCAAGAAACAGTTCGCCCATAACAAACAGATGCAATGTAAAGGTTCTTGGCCCACTTCTCCTGCAAACGGTAACATAACTAGTTAGGTCGAGGACCAGGGAAAAAGGTAAGCAGAAGGCGAAAGCAATGGTCCCCATAAAAGTGAAGCGATGACAGATGGAATAAATGACCTTGACATGAGTGCTAGGAAAGGCAGAAGTACGAAGTGTCTCTTGTGTTTCATCCGCAGGCTTCCTTCTCGGAACACTTAGAACAAGAGCAGTTTGATCCCACGTGGCTGCAGTGGACGTGATACGGTAACCAGCATCCCACCTCCTATGAATCCCTTCACTAGGATAGAGAAAATCTAATTCCACCACCTGTAAATTAATAAAAACACATGAATACCAGATATCAATATAGAGTGCACAGGATAAACTAATAAAAAGTTTTTTAAAAGAAAATTTCACAAGAAAAACCTGATCAGAGAACCCAGCCCCACGTGACATAACAATTGCCCATCTACTTCCTGCAGTTGCCATTGCCGTGACATAGAACCCCTCTCTCCATTTTTTGTTTATCCACTTGAAAGGAAATGACTCGCTGACTTTGTAGGACTGCTGCAGATACTGAGTACCTGATGTTTACCACAGAACCTACTTCAGTCTGGTTTAATTCACACGTACTGTGACAACCGAAGTATACCAAGTATAAAGTTTAACTGACCCTTTGACATAACTACTAAAGAGCTCCCATTATTTGCTCCTGCTATTGCACTAATATAATAATTCTTCTCCCATTGCTCCATGATCCACTCCTTTATTCAAACATAAAATATGAGGAATTAGCAGAAGCCTATCAAAGTGAAAGAGCGAATTGTATTTCAGTCTGCCACAAAATTAGCAGAAATATATTAGATTGCGTATGCAACAAAAATTTGACTACTCTTCAAGATTGACCACTCAACAGAAGATAAAAGACCTTGTGAAGAAAAAGAGGTGACAACTCATAAACTTGAGCAGTGAACCCAGTCCCTGCATCCATAATTAGGGCCCACAAGTTTGAACAGGATGCCACACTGCTAATGAATAGTCCATCATCATTTCCTTTCTCAACGTGCTGAGCCAACCTCGTATCAGCAACGTTATAATGATACCTACAAATGCCAGTTATGTCATTTCCTTTTACACAAGCTAAAGACCAAGAGATATCAAGTGCAAGTATATATATACACCTTTGCTTCATTGGGCGACGAGCATTGTAGACACTAATCCATTGCGTTGCAGGCATTCCCATTCGTACTTTCTTCTTTGGTTGTTCATCGGCATCTTCTTCCATTGTAAGCCTTCCTCTCTTTTGTCCAACTTGATATATAAGCTTCAATAACATAAAATGTGTTAGAAAAAATTCTCCTGTCACTGATTTTCAAATTCAAGGATGCCCTGAATTATGAAGATGTCAGGTTATACCTTCTGTGCACCATCAGTGTTGATTGGCCTGATGTCTGGATTTGGACCTACTATTCCGTCAAACAGTGAGATATATTTCGCATAATTAGGTTCCTCGTCAAACTTCAAGTTCACAACATATTCCACAAACTGCCTAAATGGAGCAGGGCAGAAGCAGCAAAGTGTATCTGGAGAAGTCGCCATCTTTTTCTTACAGACAAGGAAACCTTTATTCTCACCCTATAAAAATCACTATCATGTATCACCAAAAGAGATCTGTTAAGAAGTAATACTGCAATTTAAATCAAGAAAATGCTAACCTGATATCCCTGCCAAGGCAGCCGGCCTCGGAGAAGAAAGATGAGAGTGTAAGCCAGCGATTCTAGGTCATCCCTCCGGCTTCCAGTTCTTCCGAGGTGAGCGTGCACACTAGCATACCTTACAGTTCCCCTAGAGCAATGATTTTCTTACTAGTCAGTGAATCCAGTTTGGAAATGCAAACCAAGGCACACAACATAGAGAGTAATTGATGACTACTGTACCTAAAGACATCAGGCCTTTGGTCATACTCAACATGAGAACCAGTTGAAGTATCGCGCCACCTTGTTGCTGCAACACTCAAACAGGTAAACACAAAAAAATGTTGCACCAAAAATAGAACATGATGAAGATTGCTAAAATAAAATATAAAAGAGATGACTAATAGTTATCGAATTTGTTTTTTTTTATGATAAAAACTATATTTCCATGTATACCTAATCCAAGGTCAACCAGAAAAAGCTTTTTCTCGTCAGGAGTTCCAGGAGTCCCAAGAAGAAAGTTTTCAGGTTTCACATCTCCGTGCACATACCTGCAGAACAACAGCACCAGTATGACAAGATTATTTCAGGTTTGTCAAAGGAATTCTCATACAGAACAGCCACAAAACAATAAGTTCACTTTTCCGCAGCCAGACCCCATATTCTATCCACAAACCAGAGACTAACAGACACAAGATGTTTTGTGTTCTTACTTTCGTTGGAAGATAGATAGGTGGTTGAGGATATGTTCCCACAATGAGGCACCCAAAGGTGTTGCCTAGTGGACAATGAAGTGGTTAAGAACCATGATATCTCAGGTTCAAATCCTAGTGGAGACAAAAACACTATGTTCCCATCAGTCCGAGCCTTAGTGGACAGAGTTACCTGGTACTTGTTGCTGGTGGGAGGTAGCAGGTATCCCGTGGATTTAGTCGAGGTGCGCACAAGCTAGCCCGGACACCACGGTTATAAAACAAAATGAATATACACTATATCATCATAACCCAGAATACATAATTTCTGCCTAAGATGGAACACAGCCTTTAGCCTGTAGCAGGATGATAACCGCAAATCCATACTTACCCTCTAGAGTGCAACTTCTCAAGTATGGATATTGCTTCAATGGCAATGCATGCTACCATTTCAATAGACATCCTGAAATGGACAATGTAAAAATAAACAGAATGTCATTGAATTCCAGCGACCAGCAATAACCTCCTCATAAAATTATAAATACAGAATGGAGCTTACGCATGAGAATTATTGTTCCAGACATCCCACAAACTAGGACCAAGCATATCCATAACCTACAATCATACAAAACATTTCTGTAATTTCATGGAGATTAAAGCGGAAATCCAAAGAGAGACGATCATAAAGTTATACTACAGTAAGCAAATCACATACCATAATGTAGTAATCACCTTGTCGTCCCTTGTAATGGACACGTGGTATCCCATGACTACCACCAAGGGCACTACCACAAAGAAAACATGCCATCAATTGTAGGACAGTGTTTTTATCAGATGTGTCACAATAACTAAGAGCTACATTACGAACTAATACAAGAAAAAGACTTACTTGTAGACCTGCCACTCATAAGGTGGTCCATAGTTACAACCTTTGCTACTTCTATGCTCAAATTTCAAGGCAACCTAGAACCAGATATGTCAACATAATCAACAAAAATATCAAAGAGAATGATCTTCAACTTTCTTGGGGGGTGGGGGCGCGGAAGTAAACAAAGATGCAGAATGTGGTGCTTACCTCTACAGCTCCCGCGCCAGTTCTTTCGTGTGGATGTGATGGATTTACCCGACGACCTACATACACCTGACCAAATCCTCCTTTACCAAGCTTTTTGTCAATCCTATAAGCTGGTGATCCACCAACCTGGACCTGTTATACATAAAAGGAGATATTGCAATTGCAATGTTCAAGACGAATCCTTCAACCAGGAAGTGGAGGGGAAAAATTAAGAATAGCAGCAAAAACTCATATACGCTCGTCGCTCGCAGCACTATAGACACAACATAATGTCATCAAACACCAAACACATTTATCAGAGCAACCAACATCAATGAAAATAACAAGAAAGCATACTCCGTTTCCTCTAACCTTGTCAAAAAATAAAAACTCCATAGATCAACCCAAAGCCAATTATGAAACATAAAAATCTTAAAAGATATGGAGAGAAAGTTTGCCTGACTAAATACCCAGAGGTTTGTTCCGACAACCAAGACAAGATAATAGACCAAAGAAACTTGATAAATTCACATAATCTTAAAGAGTTATACAAACAAGACCCCAAGACCCAAGGGCATGGCCCCGTGGTTAATGAAGTGGGAGGAGAACCATGCACTCTCAGTTAAAATCCTAGCATAGTTTTAAAAATACACTAGGTGGCTTCTTTTTTTTGCTTAAGCATTACTACACAGAGTTAACTGGTACCAACATTGTGTTAGTAACAGGTTGTAGGTACCCATGAAATAGTGAGGCGCACGCAAACCACCCTGGACACCAGTCATTAAAGAAATAGACAAAGAAGATCTCAATTTAAAATCTCTTCCATAAACAAATTATAGTGAACAAAAGGCATAGACTAGCGATCAGTAAGAATTGCAGAGCTTATATATACAACTAAAAGACTGAATCTCATCATCATCAAGCATAAACAAAATAAAAATTTAAAAATTAATTTAAAAAACACAGCATTAAAGCACTGTTGAACTGAAAGAGAGTAAGCAGAAATACTGAACTCTAGAGAAAGACAGAATAAGAAGAAGAAAATCGTACCCTTTCAGGAAGGGGAGCAGTGCTACCTTCTTCCTCAGCTCCCAAACCCTTATCACCGCCGCTTCCACCGCCGCCACTACCGTACTCATCCATTTGCTGCTTTTTTTCTTCTTCCTCTACTTCCTTCTTCCTATCCTTATCCTCCTCTGCTTCACCAGTCCTAAACGACGTCGTTTTCTTCACAGCATTCTCCTCCTCGTCATCTTCTACCACTACTACAGGTACAACTTCCTTAATTACCTCTTCTTCGTTATTAACGTTGTTCTTCTTCTTCCTTCCTCC